TAGTGACATGAATTTTATAGATGATTTTGATTCATAGTCTAAATGGGTATTTAGTATGAAAGATTTAATGTAGGAGGTGGTGGTAGATTCGACAATATGGGTTAGACCACATTAGTGCAAGTGAAGTATCCAAGGAGCATACCTGGACTAGAAACTTTATAGTTGACCTTGGATTTGTTTTAAGTAACAAATTTCCATTAGAAACATTTTTTGAAAGTGCAGTCATGTTAACTAAGGATTCTTGAGATCATAGAAGGTCAATGCATATAAAAGAAGAAATTCCACTACATTCAAGAAAATGTTGAAGATTGAAATCTAGTTGTGAAGTGAATATCTTTCCAATGATTCATTCACAATAGTGATAACTAAAGGAACATGATATTCATGTTAAGAGCATTGGCATGAGAAATGTTGGAAAGTTTAGTTGTTTATTTGATTTCCCCGAAACATTTATAAATCTATAATTGTTATGGTGATTAAATAATATGGAATTATTTATATTCAAAGAGTATGATGCCATAGAACAATTAGTTTATTAATGTGTTTCATTTTGTATGTTACTTCCTGGATATTAATTTATTTGAAATGTCATAGTCAATCATACTTTTAGGAATAGGTATTTATTTAAGATTGTGATGAATTGATTGTAGATCGTCCATAGGGATTGGACATTGCATAGGGATTGCTGCAATATTCATGAGTACTTTGAAAATGGAAATTTTGAGTATTGGTTAAACCTACGCTAGAGATTATTCCATGGATTCGATCACGAGTAATTCTAAGATGATAATATCTTTTATTCTTCAAAAAAAGATATATAAGTCATATTTTGTAAATCAGTTATGCATTGGTTTACTCCAACGCATCTCGTAACTGGGTTTTATAAAGTGTAATTCCATGCACAGTTTGGTGAGTACAATGTATTATTATGTAGTAAAAGTTTATTCGTTCCTTTTGCCTTAACAGTAAAATACGATATCTTTGGGCCCCTTGATGATTTGTTTCTGACATCTGAAGTGCTTGGCCGAGCCTAGACTAAATTGATGTTTTCAATTAGTAGTCTGAATTCAGTCGTCATAAATTGGGAAATAGAGAAATAGAATCATAGACAATGAGATTGATTCTAATCCATGTCTTGTGTCCATACGTGTAACATACATATCATCGAGGTATGAAATTTTAAGTAAAATATGAGTTTTGAGTGGGTCGCAACGTGAGAGAGGAATCGTCACGACGTGACATGGCCGCAAGAGACTTGAGTCTTATTTAAGTTTCACGACGTGACACTTGATTAGGGGCCAACCCCAATTTCCGTACTTGGACCCTATTTAAAAGAAGCGAGGGGCTAGGTTTTCCTTTACCCTCAACCTTCATCACCTCCTATACCCCCTTGAAGAAACCATAATCCCTCTCCTCCATTTTTGAGCTCATCTTGGTGTTTTTGGTAACTTTTGAAGGAAGAAAAAGGCTTTGGTGGAGTTGTGAGCATCTTGACAAGTGTTGAGACCTCTTTTGGGCATCTCTGGACCTTTGTAAGTGTTTAAGATCCAAACTTTATTGTTCTAGGTTGCTAGATCTAGGGCTTTGTCCCCTTTTCTTCAAGTGTGAGCTAGTGGGAATGGTAGGATTCCATAAAGTTAGCAACTTTATGGATCCTTGAGGTCCTTTGAGTGTTATATGCATTGGATCTAGAGTTTGGTATAGTTTTGAATCCACACATGGGATTTTGGTCCCTTTTTCACCATTTTGGTTCATCTTGAGTTCAAGACATGCATTGGACATGCATGTCTATAAAGCACTAATATTTAGAAGGTTTTTAAGTTAAGAAAGCCCTATGAGAAGTTAGCATGAATGGATTAATGGATAAAGGGATTAATGTATTAAGTTGTCCCAGTACGATTCTCACGACCTGACCACATGGGTGTCACAATGTGACAATGAGGAATCATCGATTGTTTTGGATGGACGTTGTCACGACGTGACGATGGGGCTATTATGACGTGAAAACAGATTTGAACGGGACTGGGTTGGATCGTGAACGAGTTTTGTGATTGGGTTGAGTTCGTTTTCCCACGACATGACCAAGGGTTGGTTACGACGTGAGGATCAGCTGATGGTGAAGTTGATTGTTGACTTTGACTCTGACTATTGACTTGTTGACATGGGTTGACTTTTGGTGAAATTGGTAGTTCTAGAGTATAGACTTAGGTGGGACTTTATTTGATTCAATAGGTGAGTTGTAGCACCTTTCTCGTGGCATTGAGATGTGGTTTGTCTGACTTCTTGAGAAAGGTGAGTCTTCTCACTATACCAAGTAGGATGCTAGTTGTCTTTGTGATTCTTGCATTGTATGACGGGTTGGGCTCATTTGTATGTTAGGTGGGGCCCGTTGTATGATGTGTAGGGCCCGATATGTGGGTGGGGCCCGATGTTATGTATGGTATGTGGTATTTTGGGGAACTCACTAAGCTTTGTGCTTACGGTTTGTGGTTTAAATATTTTCAGGTACTTCCAGTTCCAAAAGGAAGGGCCCGACTTGACTGCACAACACCCCCTGATGGCTTTTCCCCTATTGATTATTATTATACTCTAATGTTTGAGAGATACCTTTTTATGATGATTGGTTTTTAACAAATTTTGTATGGTTTTGATTGTTGGAAAAATGAAATTTTTTATTAGTATTTTTGGGTCATTACAAATTGGTATCAGAGCCTTTATTTCAGGTGTTCGGGCACATTTTCAGGTGTGTCTGAACTCAAACTGAGGAATTGGTAATATTTTTCAAAAAAAAAATTCTGAAAAGATTTTTGTATAGAAAGGGGTGAGATGCGTGCAATCATTCGAGTTTAAGTAATTGATTCCCAAAATACCCATACATGAGTATTATGCGTTTATGTGAATTGCATGCTTGAATAGGGCTAAGATGCCTTCAGGAATTGCATTATAGAAATTTCTGATTTATATGATGCCTTATAGCCTAGAAGGAATTGGATGTTATGTGTTATCTAGAGTTTATATTGACAAAGTTAATTGCTAAGTGTATGTTTAAAAATTGTATACGATTTGGATCACATAGCCTTATTTCTTGTTCCTTGTCTGGTTGTGGGCTTAGGGTAGAATCATTTATTCGATAGTCTATTTGATCCCGTATTGTGCATAATTTTCATGAATAAGGCAACCAACAGTTTTGGTAGAGATTCCTAGTGTTGCAGAAGCAATTGAAACGAGGATTCCTAAGAGAGCCTAGGCAGTGCTATAGCAGGATATGTGTGTTGTTTAGCATAGGGCTTATGAGAATTTTCATGGTGAAGAGACTTAGGATTTGGGATGATTCTTGAGGAAAGTATGGATAGGAGTGGAAGGTAGTATTGGGCTCATACTACTGAATAGGCCTGTCAAAACATGCCACGACACGACAATAATATACGACACGAAACAAAATTGGGACGAAATCGAATTTCGAATTCGTGTTCGTGTCGTGTTCGTGTTAGTAAAAAAAACACGACATCGTGTCGTTTTCAGGTTAAAAAATTGGCATGAAATTGACACGAAATTGGCACGAAATTGACACGAAAGCAACACGACTCATACACGATTAAAAACCCACATATAACACGACAATAAAACGAGTTTGACACGATATAGAACCGACTTACACTTTTATTAAATAATAATTTTGAATATGTATTTATAATTATTTTAAAGTATATATATTCGTTTAAATGTTTAGAAGTAAAGCGTCTATTTGTTTTAATGACTTTATAAAATTCCCAGAAAGTTCACCTCGGGCCTCGACACTAACAAATCAATTAAACCGACGATTCACGTACGCCTCTTCACTATTCGAGTCTTCCGGTTCAGATTCTATCGGCTCTCCAATCTCCATCAATGATTATATATTTGAGTAATTGCAGATGCAGAGAAGATTAATCCTCTACATTATCAGTTAAAATCGATTTCAGCAATAGCAGTCGAATACATCGACTTGGCTCTTCAGAACACATCGATTTCTTCATTACAACTCTCTTGACGATTTCTTCTGTTATTCATCAATCATCAAGGTAATGTTATATTCTGTATGATTTTTGCACACTACACATACATAAGATTTTGTATGATTTTTGAAATTCCTTACTTTGTGTTCTTTTTTAGTTTAGCTAATCGATCATATAGCTAGAGTTTCTGATTAGCTGCTTGACTTTAACTGCCGTCACAAAAATATCAAACCATAATTCACATCCTTATATTATCTTTACTCATCAGTACAAGCCATCAACGATGATTCCTTCTGTTTTCTCGATATCAGATGGAAATCGTGAATGGGGAAAAACAAATTGTTTGTCTAATAATGTTTCAAAATTCCTTCTGTTTTCTCCATTTATGATTTTCGAAATTCCTTGCATATCTCTTTATGTTTCTTTCTGATTGTAGAATATATGATTTTCAAAATTCCTTGCTATGTGTTCCTTTTCTTGCCTGACATGCTCTGATTTATTGGATTAATCAAGTTTTTAGTCCAACAAACTTTTCTTGCATATCTCTTTACGTTTCTTTCTTTCTGACTGTATAATGTATGGTGTATCACTGAATAGATACAGTAGCAGTGTATGTATCATGTATGATTTTGTTTCTTGTTTTTATATCTCTGTTACAAGATGCAGTATCAGTGTATGTATCTCTCGAAAGTTAATGCTATGTGTTCAGATTTTTTTTGACTTTATGGTAATATATTTGTTTCGTTTTGACTTCACTGTAAATTTTTTCGAAACTCACTGTTATGTGTTCAGATTTCTTTCTTATTTCTGACTTTATAGTAATACATTTTTTTTATTTCTGATTAACTTTCTAATTCTTTTTTGAATCTTTTGGCATCCTAGTTATGAAGAAGGCAAAGCTTGATTAAACAACAGAACCTGCTGTAGTTGTGGCTCCACAGGTATTTTTACTACCATTTCAACTTATTGCATTTCAGCAAGTTTACTACTCTTTCAATTCATTACATGCCTAAATCTTATATTTTTTTTAAGGATGTTGACCTCGAAGAAGATGACGTTGATGTGGTTGATGTAGATGTTAAAATAGAAGGTGAAGAAGTTCATGTCAAATCAGAAAGAGAACAATGGTCGAAGGTATGGAGGTTTTTTGAAAGACTTCCAATTGGTAATGATGGGAGGGAAAGGGCAATATGTAAGAGATGCTAAAAAAGATATATCTGTGAAACAAAAAATGGAACAGGAAGCTTGCGAGGTCACATAAGAAAGTGTCCTAGGAGAGATACAAGTGACATAGCACAACTACTTATTTCAAAATCTAGTGGTTCAATGTCTATGAATTCCACAGTTTTTAAACACGAAATATTTCGTGAGCTTGTGAGTGAAGCTATTATCAAGCATGATTTACCTTTTAAATTTGTGGAGTATGAGGGGATTAGAGAAGTATTTTGGTACTTAAATGAAAATGTTATCACTTATACTAGAAACACAGCTAATTCAGATGTTGTGAGCCTGTTTAACAGGGAAAAAATCAGACTTAAGAAATTACTGGAGTTAAACCCGGGTAGAATTTCTTTAACTTCTAATTTGTGGTCTTCAATTAACACGGATGGTTTTTTGTGTGTGACTTGTCACTTCATTGATGAGGAGTGGAAATTGCAAAAAAGAATTTTAAGCTTTCAATATATGCCACCCCCACATAGTGGCGTATGCTTAACAGAAATGATTTCCACCAGAAAACGATTTCCACTTTATTGACCAATTGGGGGATTGATAAAAAGTTGTTTACTATCACATTAGACAATGCATCAAGTAATGATACTTTTTTCAATCTACTAAAAGGTCAATTGTGCAATGAAGGTGCTCTTCGTAGTAATGGAGATTATTTTCATATTCGTTGTTGTGCTCATGTGCTAAATTTGGTTGTGTAAGATGGTTTGAAAGCTATTGATGAAGGGATCGTTAAAATACGAGAGTCTATCAAGTATGTGAAGGGTTCTCAAGCAAGGAGAAAGAAATTTATTGATTTTGTGAAATATGTCAATTTGAATCCAAAAACAGGTTTGCGTCAAGATGTTCCTACCCGATGGAATGCCACTTATCATATGATTGAAAGTGCTTTATTTTATCGACGTGCTTTCTTTCATTTATCACTTAGTGACTCTAATTATTTGGATTGCCCAAGTCATGATGAATGGGGTAAATTAGAAATGATTTTTAGATTCTTGGAGGTTTTTTATGAAGTTACGTGCATCTTTTCTAGAAACAAATACTCCACATCAAACTTATATTTTCCTTCTGTTTCTATGGTTGAAGAAACTTTAAAAGAAGAAATGGTAAATTCAGATAAGTTTATGAAGGAAATGGCTTCCAAAATGTATGAGAAGTTTTCAAAGTATTGGTCCGAGTACAGTATGATTTTGGCAATGGTTGCAGTTTTGAATCCGCGTTATAAAATATAGTACATTGAGTTCATTTATAAAAAAGCTATACGGAAGCGAATCTTGTGATCACATTGATCGTGTAAAGGAGAGATTATTTGATCTCTTTAAAGAGTAAGTTATTGATTCACACGTGTCTTGTAAAACTTCAACAATATTAAGGGGTGATTCAAGAAAGGTTGTGCATGAAAAAAGAGTGACACTGTGCTTAGTAAAAGCACGAGATACATGCTAAAGGTAAGAAACTACTTATTAAATATTTTGTGATCTTAACTTAATGTATAATTTTTTTCCTCTTAATAATTTTTTTTTCACAGGAGTTCACAGCTTACGAGAGTACAGAATTTGATTTGTCTCAAAAGTCACAGTTGGAGATGTACTTAGATGAGCCAAGAAGTGACATAGATGAGGATTTAGATGTTCTATCTTTTTGGAAAGCACATCAATATTGTTATCCAGAGCTTGCTTCTATGGCTCGAGATATTTTAAGCATCTCGGTCTCCACTGTAGAATCCAAATCTGCCTTTAGTAATGGTGGTCGTGTTCTTAATCAATATCGAAGTTCTTTGAAGCATGTTATTGTTGAGGCTATAATGTGACAACCCGTAAATTTCTATCTAGTAAGTCATTCAACCGAGAGTCAGACTTGTTTCTGTTACCTTTTAGCCTTGTTAAGGGTCATTTTATGAGTTCTAAGCCTAGTACACTCAAGGATTGTGTGTTAGGAAGTGAACCACATAAGAACCAAGAGCGTAGAACAACATTTGAGCCATAAAACCCCAACAAGTGAGGTTCACGGCCAAGGTCCATGTTCACGGCCGTGAACCCTTGTTAGGCCGTGAACCCCTCCTATAAAGATGTATTTTTGTCACTTTTTCGTTCACTTCTTCTTCCCTTGGCCACAAACAACTCCATTCTCTCTCAAGTATCATCCAAGAAAAGCTCTCATTTCACTCCGAAAACGTAAGGGTCTCATCTCTTCTTGTTGTTCCTTGAAAGCCCTTACCTTTCCATATTGATTCATCACTTTTCTCCAAGATCTTCAAGTGTTCTTCTTCAAGTTGGGCCGTAAACCACTCAAGTGGGCTGTGAACCACTCATCAAGTTGGGCCGTGAACCATTCATCCATTTGGGCCGTGAACTCCATTGGGCCGTGAACCATCCTTCCTTTGGGCCGTGAACATCCAATCAACATCCTATCTTGTTTCCAACACTTCTTTGGTGAGTTATCCTTGCATCCTAGGTTGTTTCCCAATCATCTTTGTAGTTAGATTTGCTATAAACATGCATATATGTATCAATATATGTCATTTAGGACTCGTTTGTGTCTCTGGAATTCATTCGTGGAACTTCTCATCCTTACGCGAATCTTCAATTGAATCACCCACATAAGGTGAGTTCATACCCCTATAATCAATCTTTTAAATGTTTTAAATGCTTTTAAGGGGGGGAATACAAGTTGAAAACAATGATAATTGTGTAAATGTTATATGTGATAAACATCATTTTAAAGGAATTCTTATGTGTTATAAGTGATCAAATCATTTCAAAAACTCTTTTAAAGTTATGTTACTTTTTTGTTTGTAAAACTTTGTATTTTAAATATAAACATAACTCAGTAGCTAAATGAGTCTTTTCTACAAATCAGGTTCTATCAAGTAAACACACTAGTAAACTATAATAGGTATAGTTTAGGGGTTCAATTCATACTATAACTAGTACAGGGAGGAACATACTACAACTAGTACAGGGAGGAACATACTATAACAAGTTCAGGGAGGAACATACTATAACAAGAACAAGATAACAATAATGTGAAACCACTACTTCACGGGTTAGCAATATACTTGTTATGTCGCGTTTTGTAACCAGAGTCTACTGGAGAGAGAGCGTAAGTTTGTGTATAGATCTATACGGGATTGACACCCCACACCTTGCTGCTAGCTACAGTGGGACTTGCAAGTCTACGGGTGACAAATGTCATACCATTTTCGACGTCTTTGGAGCGTCGTGTTTTATACTAGTCAAATCGAGTATGGTTATAACCTCATCACATTGTAACCTTAATTAACAAACTGGTTTTAAGGTAGTTAGTGGTCAGGAGTTACTTTATGCAACACTACTGTACACTTTCATTTTCCCATTACATTCATATAGTGATCTTCTCACATAAACAGTAATGCAAACTATTATCTAGTAAAGATAGCCTTAAACTTTGGAAAACTTACATCATTACAAAAGACAAACAGAACAGTCGAGTCTTAGTACATTCAGTTAGAAGAGGGCCTATAATGCTAACTTTATGATTCCTCGGTACATACATCAGCGATATATATTAATCGGGTCCGGCAGACAGTAGAATGTGTGCTTTCCGCTTCATTTCCTGTTCCTTGTTTGGTTGTGGGCTTAGAGCAGATTCACCCAGTCTACTATCTATTCGATCTTAGATATATATATTTCGTATACACAAAGTAATCATAAGAAGTACCATGTATGGGTTAGGTCATAGTATACAAATTCAATATACCATTTTCTAGTACAAAAACATACTTTTTTCAGATAGAACATTTAGTAGGCTAAACTAGAAACTTATCAACAAAAGGGTTTAATCCATTTTATTAAACCAGTATAACTTAAAGGGCCTTTAGTGGTTAATTCTATAATACCTTAGTTTATACATCAGGGTTATATATAATTAATATCCGATAGACAGTTGGATGTGTGCTTTCCGCCTTACTTCTTGTTCCTTGTTTGGTTTTAGGCTTAGGGCAGATTTACACAATTAACTATCCGTTCGATATTAGATTATATATAGCTAGTATAAACTAAGTGATTATAGAAGGAACTATTGTGGTTACCATTTTTACTAAAGGAAATGTAGGTTTTTCTTAAAGAATGTTTTCATCAAATATAAAGGAACTATTACAGTTAACTCCGTAAGTACCAAATGAATACACCATGGTTATATACAATGAAGATCTAACTAACAATGGGATGTGTGACTTCCGCCTCATTTCCTGTTCCTTGTTTGGTTGTGGGCTTAGGGCAGATTCACACAATCGATTGTCTGTTTGATCTGGATTCTATATAACTTGTATCCATTTAGTACTCATAGAAGGAATTGTAGAGTCATTTTTACTTTCATTCATCATATCAGAAGATATATGATCTTCTGGAGGAACAGGCGAACTTTTCTAAAAGAACTTTCAACTTACTATACAACACTAAAATACTTATGAACTCACTAGCTTAAATGCTGATCTACCCTTTCAAAATAACTTGTATTCTCAGGAAACTAGTAAACAGGTACGCGCACTGGGATTCAGAAGATGGAGCATAGTAGCTTCATGTCTTGTTTTGTTATTTACTTTTTGAAGTCAATCTTTTGTGAATCATATACTTTGTAAACACTTTAATGTTAATACAATGGTTGCTTGTTACTTTGATTACTATGATGCATGTGTTGTGATACTAAACATGAAGTCCTCCGCCCCCGATAGTTTCCGCCGTTCCGGTTTGGGGGTGTGACAGATTGGTATCAGAGCAGTGTTTATAGTGAACTAAGTATATCAACCTATAAAAGATATACAACTATAAATACAATGGGGCCGAACTGCTCTGAATAAAAGTATATTTTAAAAATATAACAATACTTTATAAAAGTATACATACATGCTTATACATATATACATACTAGAACAAGTAGCAAGAAGAACAGAACATAAGTATTTAAAGGTTGAACACTGCGGTCAAACCTGGACAGTTATGTAATCATATCTGGGATCAATATAGCCTGATCAACTATATTCATTTGAGATGTGACCGACATGTGTTTGGGAGTGATGTGGTGTTGCAACAGTCTTAAAACTTACCAAATTCTTTTCAAGGGATTTCTAGATCAGAACATAAAGTTAAAATACTGTAGGAGTATTTTATGATACTATAAGACAACAACAAGTTTAAAACATACCAAGTTCATTACATTAAAATACTATAGGAGTATTTTAGGCACTATAAATAACTTATGTGAGAACTTAAAGGCCCTTCTGGTAGGTCTATGATTCCGGAGTGTATACTTTCAAGGTTTTATATAATTGAGATTTTATAGACGTAGAATTTGTGAGCTATTCTCCACTTCCTGTTCCTTGTTTGGTTGTGGTTTTGGAGTAGGATCACTATTCGAAGGTCTATTTAATCTTAAATTATATACACGTTGTATACATTGCGCAATTATAGGAGGACCC